ACTGTGCCGCTTCCTGCTGCTCGCCCTGCGCTCCTCCTTGGTGACGCCCAGGCAGCCCATGAGCTCGTGCAGGGACACCGACTTGTCGTTGTTCAGGTCACAGTACTCCACAAACTTCTTCACGCACTTCTTGGGTTTGGACTTTTTCCGAAGGAATCTCTTGAAGGGCTTCATCTCCTTCTTGCCAATGTCCCCGCTGGAATTCTTGTCCAGCAGCTTGAAATACCAGTGGACCACTCTCTCCTCCAGCGTGTGGCTGGGGTCAGGTTCGGAGAGCCTGGAAGGACAACGGGAGGTCAGGGGCTACGGCCACGGCCTCACCTCCCTCGGCCCCCCTCTGCCCCGGAGAGGCCCTCCCTGTGCGATCGCAGAGGGTCCTGAGGCCTAAGCCTGCCTGGATGGGCCACTCAACGTGACATGTATTTAAAAATAACTTAGAGTCCAGCTGGTGTGGCCCAGTTGGCTGGGCGTCAGCCGAGCCCCTAAAGGTCGCCGGCCCGATTCCAGGTCAGGGCACGTGCCCGGGTTGAGGGCTCGATCCCCGGGGGGCATGCGGGAGGGAGCTGGTTGATGTTTCTCTCTCTCCCTTTCCCTTCCTCTCCCTCTAAAAGTAAATTAATAATAATAACTTAGAAAAAGGGATTGAACAAAAATTTTTCAAGTTGGCTTCAAAGTTGCAAGTGACACAGTGAATTTGTGGGTGCCAACTGTGCACCTGGCCTGGGCCACGTCCTGGAGGTAAAAAGCACCCCGGCCCCCGTTCTGTGCCAGGTGCTCCCCCCTAGATGAGGTTCATGGTCACGTCACCTGTGTCCTACAGACAATGAAAGGCACAGATGAGAATACATCCGAAAGTGGTACCTGGAGGTTCTCCCTTGAATTTAAAAAATTCTGTATTTTAAGATATGAATAATTTAAGAAAACCTTCCCTAGGAGGCCTGGACTTGAGCCGGGGTTAGAAACTGCCCCAGGAGTGAAAGTGGCCTCGTTAGCCAGCGGACAGTGAGGGGCAGTGTGGAGAGGGGCTGACCGCCCCCCATGGCTGCCGGGCTCCCACGCTGGGGCCCGGGTGAGCCCCGCGCACCCCGAGAGCGAAGTGTGTGCTCAACGCCCCGGTTCTCTGGACCCTGCTGGATACTTTCAGACTCGGAGCCGCTTCTAGGGAGCCGCGAGGCCACTGCTTCCAATTTTAGTTTCTCTGATAGGAGCAGCCTCCCGAGAACGTAAGATCCGATTTTAAATTTAGGTGACTTTTTAAGTTTAACTTACTATCCAGTTATAGAAGTATCCGTTAGAATGCCTTTTTTTTTTTTTCCCCTTGACGCTTACTCTTAAGCAGAGACAGAGAGAGGAGAGTGGCCGGGGAAGGGAACCAGAAACCGGGGTCGTGGAGGCGCGACGAGGGCCGGAGGGAGGGGGGAGGCTCGAGTCCTCCATCAGAGCACGTTCCTCAGAGTGGGGGGGTCAGTTCTTGCTGATTCTCAGGGGGTCCCGGGCTAGGAGCGCCGCACCCACGAGACACTGGGAGCCACCCTCAGGTTGGCTGTTAGGGACAGAAGGGGTCGGGCAGAATCTCCCAGGACAGGGAAGCCCAGGGCGTCTCCCGGGCCAGCGGAGAGGACGTGTCCCGTTCCAGGGTCAGAGTTCGCCCCGTGTCAGGTAACTAACCGCTGAAGATAGTTCAGATGGTACATTCTAGGTGACATGTAGGGCGTCCCCCAAGAATGTGTACGTGCCCTTTGAATAATTATAAAGGCCGTGTTTATTAAAATACACTTCACTTTCAAACGTGAGCTGTCAGCTGTTAAAGTGTGTTTACATTTTTGGGGGGACACACACCCTGTATTTGTTTTCCCACAATAAAGACATAATATCTTGAGACCTTTAAAGTGAACATTTTTATATACAGTATTTAAAATCCAGTCCATGCTCTAAAATGCAATTCCAAAGCACGAAGCCATCTGAGCTTCCCTGCCCCGTCCCCATTGCACCACCCGAGGGAACCAGGGAAAATCCCGTGGCCCAAACTCTCCCAGTCAGACAACGTCTTCAGTGGTTTAACCACATGACAAAAACCCTCCAAACCCACAAAGCCCCCTCCTGCTTGGGAGGGGCCTCCTCTCGCCGCCCTGGGTGTCCGGGGGAGCAGACGGCTCCCAGGCAGCCGACGGCTGGGCTTAGACCATCTGGTCAGGTTTCCTCCCGTCTCCCAGCTTCTTCCCAGCACCTGGCCCTGGGGTCAAAATGCAACGTACCTGCCGGCAGAGGAGGGGTCGGAGACGGCGTGGACCATGTCCGTGGACAGCGCGTCCAGAACGCTGGTGAGAAACTCATTCTTTTTGGCACCGGGACAACCTAAAAAAGGAGCACACACATCTTTTCATAAGTCACAGACCTCACGGAGCACAATGGGTTTTTCCTGTGACGGAGAGAAAAGTTGCTTTAATGTTTGGGAATTGGTGAGATGGGGTCTTACTAGCAAGGGGCTCATTGCGTCACTCGCGAGAGGCACGTTGACACTGATCGTCACAGGTGTCCTTGGGCACCTGAGTTCCTTGTTACTGATATTCAAGCCCATGTCAGCCGCCGAGACAGGGACCCTTCACACCGGCTTCCACCTCACTAAATACACACGTCAGAAAACAGACGCGATTCCTCGGGGGAGGGAGGCCGAGAGTGAAAACAGCTCCAGAAGCCCCTGGAGAAGTGGATTATAATTCAGAGAAAGCCCGCGGTCCCCTGTCAAACACAGAGAAACAGCCAGCCGGTCCCCAGAATCGCTCATCAGGCAGCTTCAGAAGGTGACGGCAGCGGCCTCTGTCCTTCCCGGGCCTTCTCAGAAGCCAGCCCGGCCCCTGGTTCTCCTGCAGCGAGTCCCTCCCTCTGGGGAAGCCTCCTGCCGACAAGGGAGCTGCCGCAGCGCCAGCCTTCACACCACAGTCCGTCTCCCATTCGCCCGCCCAGCGGCCTCCGTAAATCTGTGCTCTCAGATCGCAGCCTGCAGGCGCCGTGACCTCACACAGCCCCTGCTTGTTCAGGGCCAGCCGTGGGCACGAGCCTGCCCCCCAGCTGAACGCAGGGCAGCTCAGAGGTCTTAGCCCAGGGGTGGGACCTCGCAGGGACAGCCCCACTCGGGGAGCCCGGCAGGGCGAGCGCGTCGGGGTAGAACTCACAGCCAATCGCAGCAGCGTTTGGAGAGAGGAAACCGCTGTCCTCTCAAGGCCAGAGCAGAATCATTACAACGACTTGTTTACAAATCTGTGGGAAAATAAAGTCCACAGCTCAGCCCGAGATGCTCGCTCGACCCCATTTCCCTGCGGAATCCAAGTAAAACACTCGCACTGCCTTAGATTTCCGTGCAGACACTTGGGTTCCGGTCCCGCCTGGACCCACAGCAAGTGCGCAGCCCAGTCCCAGGCCCGTCAGTCCCACCCCGGAGGCTCGTCCAGCCGAGGGTCAGACGGAGCGAGCGGGGCCCGGACAGCAGCCTCGTCTGCCCCGGGAGGCCGGGCCCTCGGGACCCTGGCTCGGCCGTGACGCCTGAAAGTGCGTGTTGCACTTGATATAAAGTGAGAGTGTTCTGAGCTTTCTGCGGAGGGTTTTAACAATCAGAAGCTTTCTGCACAGAAGTTACTGGCCCCAGAAAACCTGCTCTGCAGTTTCTCCTTTCCCACCTGTCAGTACAAAGTGAAACCCTCGGGCTGCGGCCTCGGCGCATCCCAGACCTGCGGCCCGTATCGCAGCCGTCACCGGGCACGCTCGCACGGCCACCCGAAGGCGCAGGGAGGCCGAGGGACAGCGGCACCCACAGGAGGCAGCCTCTGACGAGAGCCCGTGTGGTGTGTCTGGGCCACGTGAGCCATGGTCCGCGCAGTGTCGTGGTCTGAGTGGCCCATCGGGCGGGGGCTGCGGGATTCCCGGCAGGGGAGCGGGAGCAAGGGTCAGACCTGGGGTGTCGCAGGTAAGTGACCTGGTGCGGTGGGAAGTATCTGATGACAGTGACACTGATTAATTGAGCTTTGACGCATTTAGCAGCAAGCAGCTTACAGTCTCCAGGCGCCTGTTTTTTTGTTAGTTTGTTTTTTATTTCAAATGCATAGGAAGCTAATGTAGGAAAGAAATGAATTTGAACATGAGAATTAACACCTTCCTCTGATTTTTTTCAGAAGCCTCTGAGTAGGTGTGTGCATGTGTGTGTGCATGTGTGTGCGCGTGTGCATGCACGTGTCCGTGTGCATGTGCACGTGTGCATTGCGTGTGCATGCGTGTGTGTGTGCATGCACGTGTGTGCGTGTGCATGTGTGTGCATGTGTGTGTCCGTGTGCATGTGCGCCTGTGTGTGCGCACACGGGGGCGGGAGGTGGGGGCGGGTGTGTTTATGTTTCCTGAGTCCCCCCAGGTGACTCGGGGCCACCCCGGGTCATCCAGACATTCCCGGGATGAGTGTTTGTAACCCGTGTTCCATGACCAGCTCCGTCTTCACCGGCCCGGAGCTCACACAGGGAGGCCCTGCAGGGGACACGGAGGGTTTGTGGTGACACACGCAGGACCCAAGTCAACCTTTAGGACGCTGAGTCTCTGCAGGTCCCGCGCTCAGGCTGCCACGCGGTCGGCTGCGGAGCGGGAGGTGTTTGGGGCCACGTGTCCACGTGTACTGGGGCACCCGACCCACACGTTTTTGTCAGTATCGGGACTGCTCCTGATTCCTCCCTGAGCATTTGTGATTACGGAGAAAACAACGGCTTTGCTTGGATTTTCGCAGCCAAGCTGCTGGCACCTTCCCAAACCAACCACAGCGTTTTTAGGCAGAACGTCTGAGATGAGACTGTCCCGGAGGAGTGACCACCAACCGGCTCCTCTCGGCGCGGGACTGCCGGCGGCACCTCAGGACGTCACCCCCTCTAGCGCGATGTGCGGTCCCACGTGACGCACGAGCCCCGCCACTCAGGTTCCTCAAGCGAATGACGGAGCCACGGGCGGGACGGGGGAGCCTCTTTATTCCGAGACCAGGCGGCTGAGGAAAGGAAGAGCCAGGCAGGACGGGCTCCGACCAGGCGCGTGCCCGAGGCGTCCCGCGGCACCGCGGACACCGCGGTCATTTGCGCCCAGGAATCGTGTGTGCGCCTGTAAAGCCCACGGGAAACCTGGGGCACGCGCTGGGCACAAGGGCTTCCCTTCCGGATTGTATTTCACTCACCGCCCTGCCCGTGGCGGATGGACTGCGGACACAGCCTCGCATTTCCGAGAATATTTCCAAAATGTTTCCAGATACGCAGCTGGGGAGCGAAGCCCGTGGTCGTCACCACAAATTCAGTTGCTAATGACCAAGTTTCACGGGTCTGTGCACAGGAACAGCAACGCTGCTGCTACTGCCCCGAACCTCAGGGTAACGAGGTGGCTTCCAAGGCGCCCAGCACCCCGCACGGAGCACCCCGCACGGTGCCCGATGCCGGAGCAGTGCTGCGCCCCTGGGCCCCATACGGCCGGAGACCTGGGCAGGTAGAGGGTGACCCAGGAGGCAGGGGGGTCCCTCTTCGCTCCAGGGGGCAGCCCCCCAGTTTCATGCCCAGCCACAGCCCCCCAAGTCCCCCCACAGACAGTCCGAGAGGTGGGCCGTGCCCAGGGGTTTAGGGGCCGGCCGGCTGCTCTTACTTTTTTTCAAGTAACAGACGTAATTTAAGGAACGATCTCCATTCAAACGGAGGAACCCTCTTTCCAAACCCCTGGTCCTTTTCCCACGTTCGGTCGTTCGTGTGCAGCGTGGCCTCTCGCCCGCCCCGTCCGAGGGGCTTCAGGGAACAGGGGGTGACAGCAGGACCGGCCGCCTGATGCTGTAGAACCGCAAACCTGTGAAGCGTCGCCCGTCGCCGTCGTAAAGGATCAGCCGCCATCTCCGACGTGCTTGGTCATCGTACTTTATGGCACCGACGAGCTGGTTTATTTCTTGTAAAGCCGCAGTTCACTAAACTCTCGCACCCAGAGCGAGCGGGTGCGTCCCGAGGTCCCACGGAGCCGGGC